TGATCCTTGAGTATTATACTAGTTTTTCTTTTGTAAATTAAGCTAAAGAATCTGGATGCTGCCTTTGGTGACAAACTCTTCTGTTATAACATGATTGATTACCTACATTGAATCATTCATTTCTCCATGGAATAAATGACACATCCCTTTAAAAATTTACCCTCATCTGTCAAAGTTTGCATTCTCCGCTGACTTCTCTGTCTATGCTCTCTTGGTAGATGTGAACATTTTCAGAGGATGTTTTCTAATCATTGGCATCTAATGAACAAATCTGTCTTAAACTACATTTGAAGTAGTCTCCTTTAATAGTTTTTTAAAATACTAAGTATCAATGTTAGCTCTAAAGAGATCACATAATTCGTTTTTATAACTCAGACTAGCAATTCCTAAATAGGTGTATAGCAAAGTCTCTGAGGGAGAGAGAGGGCAGTGCAAAATATTATATTTACCAAATGGGGCATAGGTTAAAAAGGTTGGGAGACTCTGTCACAGATAAAAATTATCTGAACACCTCTGGAGATCTTTCATCAAATGGAAAAAAGAAAGTTCACAAAAGTTAATTGATTAAGAAAATAAACTAAATCTAGAACAAATGAATTTTAATGACTATTTTCAAAGAATGATTAATTTTTTAATTATGAATTCTAAAGCTAAAATTTGGTGTATATATATATATATATATATGGTATAATACGGAGAATACAGGACTGAAAGCAAGAGAGAGCTGAGTTCAAGTCCCAGCTCTGTTGCTACGTGATGGGGTCCTTCATTGTTCTGAATTTCAGTTTTCTCACGTGAAAATGAAAGGACTAGCCTTTATGATTGCTAAATGCCTTAAAGTTCTGCTACTTTATAACTCTACCAAATTTTTATGTCATTTTTTGTAAAAGTATTTTATAGCATCCATATCAAAAAGGGATAACTATAATTCTTTCTAACTAGAACATAAGCCTGTGACTCTATGGCCAACAGACTAGTAGATCATGATCTTTACCAGTCTATATACCAGAATCACTTGGAGAGCATCATCAACCTGGAAGCTCTTATTCAACAGATCTGATAGTGCACCTGAGCCTGTGTAGTTTGAACCTCTCTCTCAGTGATTTTGATATGTATCCCTAGTTAAGAACCACTGTTCCAGGTTCTCTTTTGACAAAATGTTTCTTGAGTCCGGGTTGCAGACAAAGACCTATGTTAATAAGGGAAACAAATGCAAAGTTATAATTTATCTTAAAAGAGATCATTTCTTTCTTAGCCGTCTATGGATAAACTCAGTATTTCTTATCTGTGAATTCTACTGGATCAGACCTTACAGTTCTTAGATATTTGAACTTTTTTTTTGCTGTGACAATAAAAGATCAGGTAATAGAAACTCAGTCAGCATTAAGACGGAATATGCTTGAAGAAAGAGGAACACACATACATATTTTAAATTGGATATGCTTATATATAGTGCATAAGCACATAAAGGTAAGTAAATACGAAACTTTTAATCTCTGATATCTTTTGTTTGCTCCTCCAAATCCAGTTGCCACTCTTTTCACCGTTCTCCACTCTTGATCTCTGCTCCAGCAGACTGACCTGAATGAACTGTAGTAGTCCCCATAGCCTCTGGACAATGGGTAGCCCTGATAGGACATCATAGGAAAGGAGAAGAGTGAATTCAGTGTATTTTTGCCCCTTGATCACTCCTGGCAAGGTCATCTTCAGCTGGCTGTGTCCGTTGACTGAAGATCACTGATCCTCTCCAGCCAGTAAACACTTTATGGCACTCTTTGCTTTCAAGTTCTGATGATCGCCCCCTTCCTTCATCGCTTGAGGAATGGTAACAGCTCTGATGCAACTGGCCCTCAGTTTACTGCACTGGCCCTTGTGGCTTTTCTACATTTACACTTTATAAATAGACCCTTGTAAATAAGCCCCCCCCCGGAATTATCTTATTTTGAGCAGGCCATCTATTTCCTATTTACTGGGCTTCTAATTGATAGAGTCTTTCATATTAAAAGTACCTTTGAGAATCTTTGATTAATACAAAAAAAGTGGAATATAGTTTGGAAACTTGAGCTGTAGTTTCTAAAAAAGCTCTAACTCTGCTTAAAACAGTATACCTAAGCAGCAGAGGAAGAGTGTGGTAAAATTCATGTTAAAATTGAGGTAGTAGTGGATCTGAGAAAATGGGATGTTGGTCTCATCTATGATATGGAAAAGAAGCAAGGCGATGTGAATTTTAACATCAAATCACAAGGCTAAAACTGGTAGTGTTTCTTTACATGCTCCAGAGACACTTGGTCTGTGATACGTGTTCATTTGGGGGCAGCTCATTAACAGAATAATATAGGCAAGCTGGAGAGAGTTCATAAAGGAGTAACAAAATGATAAAAAGTGCTGGAGGATTGACAGGTGAGAAGAGATTAAAAAGATGAAATCACTCTGCTTTCGCTAAGTGGTGACTAAGGGGGAACATGTCAACTGTCTACAATTATGCAAAGGTTATAAACTCCAAAAGATAGGCAGTGATTACTACAAATCAAAGGAGTAGTGCTCTGTTGTAAAGAGACAAATTACGGGAAAAGTTTAGCTCAAATAACAGGACCATTTGCTAATGTAGAGCTATCTTGTGTCTTGTAAAGCTAAATGTTACGTACTATGGCCTTTGAAAAAGACAAAAATGAAACAAAAATCATTATTTAATATTATATATGTGGATTCTCTATAGTATGTCTGTCTATCTATCTACCCATCTATCTATCTATCCATCCACCTATCATTCATCTATCTCTCTATCTACCTATCTATCATCTATCCATCTATTGATGTATCTTAGAAATTAGCCTTTCATAAACATATATAGAAACAAAAGTAATGATTGCTACTATTACTATAGGTTTTGTGCTAGACATTTAACAAGTGTCTCATTTAATCATTAACATTGCATTTTGAGCATTAAGGAAACTGAGGGTTAGAAAATTTGAGCAACATTCTGAAAGTCACCAAACTAGTAAGTGGCAGTGCCAGAATGTAGACCCAGGGTTCTTTCTCTCCATGTCTTTGCTCGTAAGCCCTGGCCAGTTAAATTAATTTAGTACATTGTTATATCGGTAAATTTTCGTTATTCTATTATTTATATGACAGCATGGGTTATTTACTAATTCTATGAAGTATTTTATCACTAATTTCCTTGAATACCTAATGATGTATTTTAGGTACTTTGGAATGTGGCTACTTATGGCTCATGGTCATTCAGTTTGCAAGGAATAGCCATTTCCACAGCCATTTCCCATTCTTGAACAATCCATGTGGTCACCACCTACTCCAGCTATGGTAAAGCCTAAATAATTTCATTTCCTTATCCTAGACCCTACTCATTTTTAATTTTTTAAAATAATTCTTCAATCCACTAATTTATGCAATTGAAATTATCTAATATAACATATTTACCAAGTTGTCATTTTAAAGAAATTACTCTATTGGGCTGTCTTTTAAAAAAATATTAATCACTTCTCATACTTAATTTAATTTGACTTGAAGCTATATTAAAAGAAAACCTTGCTTGTGATTAATATTTCAAACAATACAGAAGAATATAAAATGAAATGAATAACAGTTCCTTATCCCTTACAACCCTCAATTTCTGTGGTTAGAGATAACCACTGCTAACAGTTTCTTTTGTATCTTTCCGGGAATTTTCTGTGCACACCTCTGTGCACACTTTCTTTTTTTCACTTAGCCATTTATCTTGGCTATCTTTCCATACCAACTCATAAAGTACTACTTTATCCTTTTTAATGACTGTAAAACATTCCATTGTATGAGTATAACATTATTTATCCAGTTCCTTGTTGATGGATATTTAGATGCTTAAAATAAGCAATTCTGTTATGAACGTATATCTACATTTATCTTTGCATACTTATCCCACATCAATAAGGAAAATTTCTAGCTAAAGCATTTCTGAGTTAGAGCATAAGAAAGTTTAAAATTTTTACAGGTTTTTACCCAATTTTCATCCACAAAGTTGTTTTATATTAACACAAAAGATACATGAGAGTCTTAACAGGCTGTTCACATTTTAAAACTCACATCGGACCCCAAGATGTCATAGTATTGACTTCCGCTTTGTGGAATAAAATGGCAATTTGCCAAGGACAAACATTTCATTCTGCGTAAATATTTTACTCCAGGGCTAGGCTTACCTTTGCCCGCTTATATTTTCAAGTCAATAACACATTATTTGTTTTTATTTTCCCATGGTTTAATTAAAAGAAACTTACTAATATTTAAAATAACAGATTTGACTAACCATTTGTTCCAGACTTTGACTCTGGCTATTTCTTCCACCTGGAAAATTCACCTCACTCCAACCCTGTATGTCCATATCCTACCTACCTTTCATGGTTTATTTCAAATGATACCTTCTCCATCTAAATCATGTTTCCTTCCTCAGAACTCCCAGCACCTTTATTTAACTCTATTATCATTTACATTTTATATTATAAATCCCAGATAAATGGTAGCTATCATTATCATGAGGCCCTGGATCTTTCCAGCTCTATAAGTGTTCTCCTCTACTTTCTGCCCTTACCTGCTCCAATGGATTGATTTAGCTCAAACTACATATTTAGCCTTGTGATACTGCTTTTATTTTCTTTTAAAATAAATGTTCCAAGTTTTTATTTTTAATATCAACTGGTTAAAATATTTTTATTCTAAAGCTTCAGATCCTCTAATAGCAAAAAAAAAAAAGAAGAAGATTTAAAATGTCTCTGGAACTCAGATTATAGACATATGAAACTTTAAAAACTGAAAGTTAAATCTGAAACATACTGGGGAGAGTAACATGGATGCTATCATATTAAAGGCCTTTGGAAGCAGGCTAGCATAGTCTACAGGCCATCAGACCTATTTATAGAGCTGACTCCTTTTTGCAATGTCAACTGTAACATTATACTTATTTTAAGCTTCAGTATCTCAAATGTCAGCCTCTACTAGTTGTACAGTTCTCCCTTATTTGATATCAGAGAGCCCAATGGAGCCTTCTGAAGAACCTAGTCAGGTTAGCAAAGATAACTTTTTAGAAGTTCCTAATTTATCTGATTCTCTTTCTGAAGATGAAGACGTTAAAGCTACCTTCAAACCTGGTTTCTCCCCTCAACCTAGCAGACGAGGTTCTGAATCCTCTGAAGACATGTACCTGGACAGTCCACCTTCAGGTGCAAGAAGAGTTTCCTTTGCTGACACCTTTGGATTCAATCTTGTGTCTGTCAAAGAATTTGATTGCTGGGATTTACCAAGTGTTTCAACCAATTTTGACTTAACGAAGGACATTTTCCACACAGAAGAATATGTTTTATCTCCACAATTTGACTTGCCTTCTTCAAAAGAAGATCTTATGCAACAACTTCAGGTACAGAAAGCGATACTGGAGTCAACTCAGTATCCTCCTGGGTCTACAAGTATGAAGGGCATTATTCGAGTGTTGAATATTTCTTTTGAGAAATTAGTATATGTGAGAATGTCCTTGGATGACTGGCAGACATATTATGACATTTTAGCAGAATATGTCCCGAATTCATGTGATGGTGAAACTGACCAGTTCTCCTTTAAGATTTCATTGGTTCCTCCTTATCAAAAAGATGGCAGTAAAGTTGAGTTTTGTATACGTTATGAAACTTCTGTTGGTACATTTTGGTCTAACAATAATGGCATAAATTACATACTGGTTTGTCAAAAGAAAGAAGAAGAGCCAGAGCCTGTAAAACAACGGGAAGAAGTTTCTAATAAACAAATAAAAGGCTGCTTAAAGGTAAAATCAAGGTGAGGATATGTCTTACATTCTTTACTCTTCATAATCTTAAAGTTTTTTTATGTCATTCTTATTTCACGTGTTGTAAGAAATAGCCATTCTGTTTAAAAATGTACTGCTTGTCATGTATTAAACAATGGTGCTAGGTTTTTAACAAGGTCAATGCTATTCAAATAGTAGCACTTGTTATCTCTCCTCCATTTGTAAGAAAAATATGGGTATAATGTAATAGATGGAGGAGGGGAGTGCAATGCATATATTGCTTGCCTAATGAGTTATAAATTGCTTAAGTTCAAACCATGGAATCTAGATTTTTAACATGTAAAATATTTATTTTGTCATTTAAAGTATATTTATTTTCAGTGGCTTTTAAATGTCTATGCTGTACTTCAAAACATTTCTGATTAACATAAAACTGTTTCAATATGTACCTAGTGCTCAGAAATTCATAGAATTCCCCAACAGCTGCAACAAACTTCTTAATAGCTGATTGAGCAAGTCATACAGGGGTGTTTGGAGGACACATGTTAAGCTAAATCATAAGAGCTATGACTTTAATGATAAACTAAGAGAAAGACATAAGTATATGAGTGACATATGAATTACACATAAAACTTCATAATTACAAGCAAATGCAACATTATGGAACACAAAGTAGTATAATTTAGTAAAAGTAAATGGAGCAGAATAAAAAAAAATGACCCAAATAAAAATAAGGATATTCAGCTTTATAGATTAGAGATTTGGGATATGAACTTTCATTAGCAGCTTTGCTCTCCTGTTAATATGAAAAATAAAGAAAACTGGCATTCAGCTCTCTCTGTTGCAGAGATGGCTAATTTCCATGACGTTAGGTTAGTAGATAAAACATCCAAGAGGAGTGAGACCCCTCCTACTCCGCAGAGTTGCTCCACCAGCCACAGGTAAATATTCTGTTATCCTCTGGGAGGTCCGTCCTAACTGCAACTAGACCCAAAGATTCTAGTAACTGCACCAGAAATAGTGTAATATGATGAAAAGAGAACTGTATTAGGAGTCAAGACATTCAGATTCGAAGCGGAATTAAATAAAAACCTAAAGAATGACATTGGGAAAATTTTAACATCTTTATGCTTTAATGCCTTGATCTATTATATGGCAATAAATAACTACTAAATGTATTATTCTAATGCATTAACAAACTAAATATTATATAGGTGGAAGCAATTCAATTATAAAATATTTCTATTTTCATTATCCTTTAAAGTCATGTGAAAGATCGACTTAACTTGGTGAATTACGCCAACTTTCTTAGTCTAACTAAAACTTTCTCAGATTTTAACTGACGCTAAGAGAGATAACATAATCATAATCTCTACTTGTGCTAAGATAGCAATTTATATATTTATGAAATTTCTCAGCAACATATTAGCTATATAGACAAAATAAGTTCAACACTATTTAACAAACTAACATATACGTAAACATACACATATTAAATATTTTACAAATGATATTATCATCAGTGAATATCTATTAAACACGCTGCAACTTGCTCTATATGCTGGAGAAAAGCAAAATTTAGAAAAGGCACAAACTTATTGTCAAGAGCTAATAAAAGAAGCAGCGTATAACTCACAGGATTTTTCTGCAAGGTAAAGATGCAGCTTTAAAATGACAGGCAATACATGCTGAACTATGGTATAGACACGGGATTCCTTTGATAGACCCAACTTGACTTAATACCAAGAACAAAAATGGGCAACTGATAGGGCTAATCTTCTACCCCAGTCATGATATTATTAGAACTCTTCCTAGTCTAAGATATGTGTAGCTATATATATCCAAACACGCATTTGTATTCAGAACAGTAATCATTAGATTCACAGCGGACACCAAGTTTTAATATTGCTTTGGGGAAAAACCTGAGAAGAACTAAACCACAAAATGGTCTAAAGGCCTGTAAAGTTTCCTAATGAGTTATAAAAATGGAAAAAATCTCTCTCCTTCAAAACCACAAATACATTTTCTGTGCTTCTATAACTTAAAAATGACCAACATAATTCAAACCACATTTTGAAAAAAGCATTTGCCTCTGGAGGAGGCCTTTTGTGCTGAGTTTCAGTCCAACATGAATTTTTACATCTGATTTATATAGCACTCAAAATGGAGTGTATAAAGGAAATCCTGACAGATCCTTAGAACAGCATGTGCCATAATAGAATATTTATACAGCTTTTCCATGATAGAATTTATATGCAATGGGGTTTCAAATATTCCTAAAACTCACACAAGAGAGCATTATCAAATTTCTAAATGAATATTGCAGTTGGATTTCATCGTGAAGAATTTGGTTAGGGAAAAATAGCGCACCTTATTAGTGTTATTTCACAAAACGTGTCGTTGGCTAAAATAAAAATGAACTAATACTTATTTGATCAAAAATTATAGCTTCTAAAATATCCTCCTCCCTCCAAAGAGTTATAGAATCTAAATGGATCTGTTTGAGCATGTCCACCCTCCCTATGTAGCTTAAATTGGAGGTCACTTACTTTAAGAAGATAAATACAGAAGAGAAATTTGAGTTTTTGCTTCATACGTGCAAGTAGGTTAATAATTGTGTGTAATGTAAGTCAGAGTTAAAATGTAAATAAGGCTTTCCTAATGTAGAGAGTAACATCTAACTTGAATTCCTCTTAATACCAAAGTTAATTTACTATCAGAGTTCCAGAGATTGCATCTTCTGAAAGTGTCAATAATCCCTTCGAATAAGTACAGAGCAAACTGTGGAAACACATTTAGTGAAGCAGGATTTCTGTTATGTCAATCACTCTAGGCACTATATTTTCTCTATTGAGATTTTTTTTAGGTCAGAGTTTGCAAATTTCCACATTGATGTGGTTGTCTATTTTCTTTAATGTTTGTTAATCTATCCACTTTGGACAGAAAGGAATATCTAGAGGGAGAGGAAAGCAGAGATTCTAACTCATAGGCATGTGACTGAGAGTGACCCCAAGGTATTTAATTGCACTGAAAGGCACGCATCATGAGATACTTGATAAGTGTCACCACATATGTGGTACTGGGGTATGTGCTAGCATACTAAGCAGATTTCTGATCTACATTCCACGGGCTGTATTTCAAAATAAATGACCAAAGGAAACAAATGCATTTATGTAAATTACATTAAATGTACGTAGATAAATAAGCTAAAATTGCATACAGAAGCAGTATCACCTCAAAGTTAAAACTATGGGCTTCAGAGTTAAACATATCTGAGTTTGAGGCCAAGCTCTACCACATACTAGCTGTGTGACCTTGGGCAAGGTAAACTTGGTTTCCTCATCTGTTAATCGGTAATAATAATAGGACTATCTCCTAAGGGTTGTTTGAGATTTCCATAGATAATACGTATAAACTTTTGGCACAGTGTCTGGCACATAGTAAGTTATCAATAAATGATATCTGCTATAACAAGGCACAGCTAACTCTACCTTTAGGTGGATCTGACAAACCCCAGAAAGGCTGAAGCTGCCCAAAAGTCCCTCTCCTGTTTTCTTTCAGGGTTCCTAAATTCTCAGCTTTGGAGAGCCATTACTTTGTCTCTTGCAGGATTTTAATCAACAAGCAAAACTAATTGAATGGTAAATTTTCTTGAGACATGTGTCGCCTTATATCTGGAACATATGAAAGCTGGAAGAGATCTTAATGACTATTCAAATTTCCACATTTCATGGATGAAAAAATTGAGGACCAGATCAGAAGAAGTAAAAAAGGCATTCATCTTGGGGTTGAACAGACATGTGTATTAATCCCACAAAAATACATACTTAATAGCTATGTGGCTGTGGAAATATTACTTTACCTCTCCAAGCCCCAGTTTATTCATCTGTAAAACAGGAGTAATGATGCCTGATGTTGTGATGATTAAATTAAAGTAAAATGAGATTATATTTTTGAAATTTCTAGTCGAGTATTGGGCACATATAAAGTAGTCATCAAAAGCCAACTATAATTGTCATCGTCATTTTCGAATCTTGTTCAGCTGACTGATTTCCTGATTCTTGCACCTGCATCATTTCTCCAGACATCTTAGGTGTCCTCGATCATGTTCCAAAACTCATTCAATAAGTGTTTGTCAAGGACCTGTGTGTCAGGGACTGTGTTGTTAGGCACCAGTATCCAACAGAGAAACATGGCTGGAAACATGACCCTTGGAACATGAGGAGTGGCCCCAAGGGAAAGGGCCTCCCAGGGGCTGAGAGCAGAGAGAGGGAGAGAGGGAACGCCAAAACCAAGCTCAGATTCTGTGGGTATAAAATGGAAGCCATGGATACAAAATGAAATAAGAACTGTTTACATACATTTCAGGTTTTCTAGAGTATGTGATCCATAACTGATCTCGTGTACTGGCTAGTGGAGCGACCTTCTCAGCATCTTTTTATTTTACCCCCACCAGCTGCTAAGTGTATGTTCCCAATTGTTGGGTGCACAGACTGACTTCATCTGGTTTTTCGTTTTATTAAGTGAAACCGATTTATTATTTTAAGTAAAGACATGGCATGATATAGGTGTTGGATGGTATTTATAACTTGGCCAGGTGAATGCAAATAAATTCCTGAAAGATTTTAATGCCAAAGGAGAAGACTGATCAGTCTTCAATTTTTGTACAAGGAATAGAACCAGCCACATTTAAAAACGAGAAAGAGAGAAGTGCTTTCGAAAGCATAATTTTAAGATTACAGTGAGTTTATCTTTCAGGGTGGTAAAATCATTAAAATGAGGCCAAGAAAAGCATTGGAAAATGGGGCATAAGATACGGTCATGTTGCATGTTCCAGTCAGAGCCACTGGTTCGTGAGACTTCCTTCATTTACATTTACAGTATAATCTGGGATCCTGGAAATAGTCCAAGGGTGTAAATAGCCCCAGGAGGCCTTTAGGACTTAATGTATTCTATAACTAACTTGTTTTGAGTCTGTACTAATTGTGGAAGCTGGGTCTGTTTAAGGGAGGGACTTTGGCAAGGCCAT